AGAATTTAAAGGAAAATCACAAGAACCGCAGCCGTCTGTGGAAGATAGCAGCGATTCGAAAGGAAATGAGCTTCAAGAAGTAATGAAAAGAATTCTTGAAGATTAAATACATATTTTCATGCGCGTTCAGCTAAGAAGAAGCTTTGTCGCCACTGAAAAAAGAAATTACAGGTCGGCTACAAAACTATTTTACAAGAAATGTGAAAAAATGATTACATCAATAAATGTAGCAAAATTTACTTTGCAGATCAGTGACCAGTGTAATGTTCAAAGCGGGTATCCGCTAGTAAAATAGTCGTAATTACTTACCTGATATAGGATGCCTTATTTTAGCAATTACAGTTCCATACTCCTCAGGATCGGACTCATCAAAAGTGATCGAGAAAATGCGTCTGGCACCTTCTGCTAGAACCATTTCATCGGGATGTAGGCTGACATTTAGTATACGGGCGTCGTTGACATCTGTTATTTCAAAATCAATTGGACTGAACTGGACATTGTTTTTTACAATGTACTGCTTGATGGCTGTTTGCAGCTGCAATAGATTTGTCGTTTCACTGCATGCTTTTGCCTAATTATCATCTATCATTTTACAGCAGCACAATAATACATGCTATTTCTTTTTTGCTGCATTTGGATATATGTTGAAGGAAACACGCCCTGCCTGAAGATTCCCTCTTAACTATTAAAACCCAGACTGGAACGCACCACATTACTCCTTGCTTTTTCCAATCCTCACACGCGTCTTCTCTTCTGCGATAAATCCTGGTTACTACACTAAGTGCGCGTTCTGTTTAGAAATTGAAAAATTTAGTAAAAAAAGTGGACGACCTGCGTGACGTCTGCTATTCGTATAACCAGGCAATGATGGCTTTGAAGAACTGGTAGAAAGTCAAGTTTTGTGAGCTGTGGCGCCACCGCTGCTGAGAAACGCCGAGCTGACCGCGTCAGTTGCGCCGTTAGTGACTGCCTTCTGGATCCTACCGTACAACTCGAGCTTGCTTTGCGAAGGCGAGCTTTGCCCACTTCCACAGTTGCCATAATCTAGAAATTTTTTGAAGCCGTCGGTAAACAACAACAACAAACGCGTTGCACATAATCGTTTGTTGCACATAATTCGCAAAGCAGAAGTAACAACAACAACAGCTGCAGCAGCAGCAAAAGTAGTCCGTGAGAATTGGCCACGGAAGGTTTACTCGCAGTGAAATTGCAAATGCGAGTGCAATTTTGCGCTGGCTGGCGTTAGGAATGGATCCGTCACCAGATGCTGCAATTCATAAACGAATATTAAATCACAAAATTAATAGCTGTAGTCGTCAGTATTATTTGATTATTTCACCTGTTTAAATTCGCTTTTTGTTCTTACCACAGTCAACAACTGCCCCGTGAAAAATTCCGAGCCTTCAGCAAAAGCTTACTTCGAAAAATTAGAGCCCAGGTTTGGCGGCTGGAAATCTTATACTGTGCAGGTGAATATGGAGCAGCAGCAGCACAAAAGAAAACGCTTCAGTGGGTGGGCTCACTTTTCGAATGCTATAAAAATTTTCCCATCGCCTCACATTGAATTTTAAATTTGGTTAGTTTGCGCTGGAAATGGTATGTCTTAATTTATTCCAAAACTTTTAACAGGCGTGCCTGAGTTATCATTCAGATGATACTACACGAGCGATGGTATTATACATGATTTTAACCGCTCTTCCAAAACTATGCATTCAGGTTCCCTGAGAAGACATGATTCTGGAAAACAAATTGCAATCCCTTTCAAACGGATCACTTCACAGGCATTTGCTTCTTCCGCAATGGGCTGCTTCGGGCTCTTGAGGCAGATTTCCCTTTTAGTTTTCACTGCATCTTGCAGCGCATCCTTGCACGAAATGCGGTTTTACAGTTGATACTGGAAATTAGTAGGCATTATTTTTGGTGCAGTGAGATTTAGGATTTGAAAAAAGTTCATTCTAACTCAAAGATGAAATTTTGGGGCTCTAAATCATTAATTTGGCAAATTAACATGCTAATTTATATCTTGTTTGACTCTTATATTATAAAATTAGTCCGAACTTGAAATCGTCGTTAGAGCACAAAGAGGGATGGGTGATTGGTTCCCACAGTCTTTGTCTTAGACCAACAACTTTTCTTTTCCCACTAGACTTTTGTTTTATTTGGACGCGTTTCTTTCTCTCTGTTGGTGAATACTTTCAAAAAATTATGAGCAACTGATGGTCTTTTTCGATGAATGCAATGCTGCTTGCGAAAAAGCGCATTTAAATTACTTCCGTCTTCTTAGAATTCGCCTATTTGCTCTGTTTTTCCGGGTACTGTTAAAAACTTTTCGAGAAGCATTGCCACGTTTCCATCGGTTCTT